CATCATCATCATCATCATCATCAGCATCATGATCATCATCATCATCATCATCATCATCATCATCATCATCAATATCATCATAATAAGCATCCCCAACATCATCATCACAACCATCACCACCACCACCATCACACATCATCAGCACCACCACCATCACCAAGATCATCACCGACACCGGCATGAGCACCATCAATATTATCATAATCGCCGTCCGCCGCATCATCATCACCATCATCATCATGCGCAGTCGCACCATCATCACCACCACCATCATCATCATCATCATCATCATCATCATCGTCATCATCTTCATCAACGTCAACAGCAGCATCAGCATCATACTCATCATCTGCACTAGCATCACCATCACCATCGCCATCGCCATCAGCATGATAATCGACATATTCCTCATCGTCACCAGCATCCAGATTGTCGGCGTCCTCAGTATCGTCTGCGTCTCTCTCCTCCTACAACTACGGTCATGCACTAGTGTCGAAGCGACTCACCCCCCGTGACCAGGTCACGCAGCCAGACCGACGGAGGCGACGACGGAGGTAGCGGCGGTGAGACCAGCGCGCGCGCGACGCTGGGGGCCATGCGTCTTCCCGACGCCGGGCGGGCCCACGAGGCACATGATCTTGCCCTCGAAGAGATGGCGACAAGAGGAGGTCGGATGCAGAGGAGGAACAAGGTAAGATACGAGGAACGCCGAACAGTCCACAACAGACACTGCGGGAGAAAATCCAAACAAACTACCTCCCCTCCTCGTCCCCGGCCTGACCCGCCACCAGGGGAAGGAGATGGAGGGAGGCCGAGGAGAAGGAGAAGAAGGAGAAGGCACATGATATGACCCTAAGGGTCGAGGAGGTCGAGGAGAAGGAGGAGGAGAAGGAGGAGGAGGCGAAAGGAGGATCAGGCGAGAGGAGGAGGAGGAGCAGCAGCTTTGGAGCAGCTTTTTTGGGGGGGGCACGCGTCATGCCCCCCCACCCGCCAGCCGAGCGTGCGAAGCGCGCGGCCGCCCCGCGCCCCCGCGCAGCCGCGGCGGCCTACCGCGCGCGGCGGCGGCCGTCAGCGCCGCCTCCTTCCTCCTGCTCTGGCGTGCTGCGCCGATCTTGGGCCCTGCCTTACAGCAGGGGGCGGATGGACGGCCCGCCGCGCCCTGCCCGCTGCGTGCGAGCGCCCTTGGCCTCCTGCTGCCCCTCGTCCTGCAGGCGGCTGCGGTGCTGCGAGGGCCTCCGTGCGCGCCAGCCCTCTGCAGCTGCGCCCTCGCCGAGCCCTTGTTCTGCTTGTCAAGCGTGCACAGCCGCACTGACCTGGGCCTCCAGGCTGGCACGCCAGTCCGCAGGCGCGGTGGCGCCCACGCAGGCCGGCCGCTGGGGCTGCTCCTGCACGCTGCCTGCGGCGCTGCTGGGCATGTCTGCATCCTGGCCCGCTGCTCCGCGAAGGCCGCACATGGCAGCGGCGGCCAGGCGTCGGGCTTGCTCGGCGCGCAGGCGGGCTTCATGCCATCGTGGAGCTTCATGCCATCGCCCATCTCCGTGCCCAGCCCAGCGGCCAGGATGGCTGGAGGTGGCCCTGCAGGCCAGCCGCAGCCTATGACCACTGGCCTGACGGCCTCGTCCTGCCTGCTCGATGCCTGGCCGCGCCCAGCTGCAGCGCTGGCGAACGCAGTCTCCTGTGGCGATGGGAGGCCTCGCGGCGAACGATCCATGGCCGCGCCCGTCAGCCTCCTAGCCAACTTGCTGTCGTTGGCCGCGCCTTGGCCTCTGGCGACACGCTTGCGGCCACTGGCCTGCTGCGGCGCTGGCGGGGCCTCCTCTACGACCGCCCCGACTGCTGCCACGCCCAGCGCAGCGCCCGTGGCGAGCGCGGCCGCACCGCCCTTGGACCTGCTAGTCCGCGTTCTCCTCCTCCTCGCTGAGGGCCGCGAGGGCGGCCGGGGTCCGTGGTGGCATCCTGCTGCGTGCCCCCTAGCTGCTCCATTGGGTGGCCGCCATCAGCCTGTTCAGCATGGCCCTCACCATGGGCTGCTGCAGGCGGGTCGCTCTGGCTGCCGACCTGCCCCGACTGCTTGTTGAGGGTGCCCGTCAGCAGCTGCTCGAGTTCTTGGACGTCGTCCCGGAACGCGCTGACTTTACGTTCGAAGTGGTCGATAGCATCGGTGACTCCATGCATGACTCTCCTCCTGCCAGCGCTGCTGTCGGAGCTCCACTTGTCTCCAGCGGGGCTCTCCGTCGACGATCGTGATGGCCAGGGGGATGATGGGCTTCCTGGCTGCTTCTCTTCACCTTCTACGGCTCCTGATGGTCCGTGAACTTCTTCTACTGCTCCATCTGCAGCGGTCTCGCCTCGTAGGTCGTCGCTGGAGCTGCCCTGGTAGAAGCTGTCGCCCTCCGCGTCTGGATGGGCCCCATCACTTTGCCAGGGAGAAAACCCGTTGTCGACGGCTTTGCTGTGCGGATCGCCCTCAGCCCTTTCAGCGCTGTCAGGTGGTATGTCGCCTGAACCGCTGGCGGATCCTGGCTGGTTCCTCCTCGGCGATCTCGACCTGCGCGGCACTAGCTGTGCCGCTGGCAGCTGTTGGGGGATCGGTGCCTCCATGAGGTCCCCGTCCGCTCCTGCGTTCGCGAGGAAGTTGCTGGCAGCTTGTTCGTGAGCTTGGAGCGCTGCCAGTTGACGGCAATACTCTTCACCCTCGAGTGCTGCTATGCGCTGCCAGTTGTCATGTCTTTTGTCGTTGGTGGCCTGCCAAGCATCCCTGCACTCATGCAAACGCTCTTCGCCACCGCTCGCGTGCAACAACCTCGTCGCCCAGTCCTGTGAAGAATGGGGCGAACCTGGGAGCTCGCAAGGCGTCCATCACTTTGCTGATGCATGCCTCGGTCCACTCTCTCTGCGCCAATCATGTATGGGCTGGCGAATTGCCTGGGTCGGCGTTGTAGCGGCTCTGCGTCGTTCTCGGCCGCCAGCACCTACGGATCAGTCGCACAATCACGCGCCGCTCGCCCTTCGCGAGATTGAGTCGGATCTGAGCTGCTTGCTGCAGAGTGGCGCTGCCCCCTGCTGCTGGTGTAGCCACTGGCGCTTGCACTGCTCCGAGAACAGGGCAGGCCTGCCCAGGGCCATCATTCCTATCTTCAGGATGAACATGTCGTCGCATCGCCGCCCCTCCGCTGTCCACACGAGGTGGCTGCAAGCTACCTTGCTGCGCCATGGCAGGACACGATGGCTGCACACCTGCATGGAGAAGGTGTCCAAGAAGCGCGCGCCCTCCTAGAGCCGCACCATGTGCAACCGAAGTCGATGGAGTTATGGTACTGTGGGACGCGCGTGTCCCCAGCCCAGCGGGAAACACTTCGCTGGCTACCATGGGAAGCATATGTGCTGCACTCGCTGGCCGAACCAGGCCACCAAGATCAGGTCCGCCTGGTAATCCATGCATATTTAGAGGCTGACGGGGGCCTAGCCCAGACTCGCCGTTGGCCTCCAAATGTCTCGCTGTCGTCTGTGGCTGCACGTCAATCATGAAGGCGATCGCCAATTGCCTCAGTCGGCGGTGTAACGGCTCTGCGTCGTTCCCAGCCTCCAGCACGTACGGATCACAGTCGCACACTCGCTCGCAGCTCCGCCCTTGGCGACATTGAGTCGGATCTGAGTTGCCTGCTGCGGAGCGTCGCTGCCGCCTGCTGCTGGTGGTGTGGCCGTTGGCGCTTGCACTGCTCCGAACACAGGGCAAGTCTGCCCGAGGCCATCGTTCCTATCTTCAGCATGGACACGTCGTCGCACTGCCGCCCCTTCGCTGTTCGCACGGGGCGGTTGCAGGCTACTTTGCTGCGCCGTGGGAGGACACGATGGCTGCACATCTGCACAGAAGGGGTGTCCAGGAAGCGCGCACCCACCACGAGCCGCACCACGTGCACGCGAAGTCGTCGGAGTTCTGGTACTCTGGCATGCACGTGTCCCCAGCCCAGCGGAATGCACCTCGCTGGCCGCCTGGGAGGGCAACCCCGAACTCGACCCCAACCTCGCCGAAGGACCAGCACGGGAAGGCGCCCTCCAAGCTGCTCCTGCCCCCAGCCCAGCGAAACGCACTTCGCTGGCCATCTGGGGTGGTAATCTTGTCTGAGGTCCCGAACTCGCCTCGGGACCAGCACAGGAAGACTCCCTCTGAGCCGCACCTGTCCCCAGCCCCGCGGAATGCACATCGCTAGCCGAGAGAGAGGAGGAGGAGGAGGAGGAGGAGAAGGAGGAGGAGGAGGAGGAGGAGGAGGCAAGAGGAAGAGGAGGAAGAGCTGGAGCAGGAGCAGGCAGATCAATGAGGTTCATCCTGACCGGGGCAGTGCAGAGCTAGAAGGCGACCGAAGCGGCGCTTCTGCATTTCCCAACAATCCTGTGGTGTTCGGTCCTCGTTTTGACGAGACAGCGCCCCGCGTCTCACTCACTCATTCCTCCTCCCCCCCCCTCCTCCCTCCTCCCATCCCTGCCTATGCCCTCCGCATGTCTGTGTTTCGGCACACCCAGTGCAACGCTTCGTGGCCCCGCAGGGAGCTCCACCGAAGGCCCCAGCGGCAGGGTCCACATGGCAGCGCCGCCCCATTTTGGCGCAACCCTCACACGGTTCGTGGCCCCATAGGGAGCTCCACAGAAGGCCCCAGTGGCAGGGTCCACATGGCGGCGACGTCTCATTTTGGCGCGCCTCTCATACGGTTCGTAGCCCTATAGGGAGCTCCATAGAAGGCCCCAGCCGCAGGGTTCACATGGCGGCGCCACCCCATTTTGGCGCCCCCCTCACTCGGCTCGTGGCCAAATGGGGAGCTCCGCCGAAGGCCCCGGCGGCAGGTGCCGCCCAATTTTGGCGCACCATTCACACTGGTCGTGGCCCCATGGGGAGCTCCACCTGGGGCCCCAGTGGCAGGGTCCCATGGCGCCGCCGCCCCATTTTGGCGCACCCCCCGCACGGCTCGTAGCCCTCTAGGGAGCTCCACCGAAAGCGGTGCCACAACACGGCACTCACAACTGCACCGGGCTGGGTCCATGGCCAGGACGACTTTACCACGACGCGCGAGCGGCACGCCCACCGCGCCCCCCGAGGGCAGCGGTTGTGGGCGCTACGGGCTGAAGCAGCTAGGAGGGAGGGGGAGGAGTCAGCGAGGAGGAGGGACGGCACGGAGGAGGAGGAGTTTCTTCGGTCTTCGGGAGCTTTCGGACACCTCCTGAAGTATTTCAGGACATGGCCAAGGTCATTCGAAGGCGATTGAAGACGGATGAAGGGGAGGAGGAGGAGGAGGAGGAGGAGGAGGAGGAGGAGGAGGAGGAGGAGGGAGACGGAGAAGAAGAGGGGGGAGGGATGGGAGGAGGGTGGGATGATGGAATCGGGCGTTGGCGGGACCTGGTTTAGAGGAACATGGTTGAGTTATGTGTACCAGGGGATGACCCCCCGCCACATTGTACTAACCAAAATGGTCGTCACCAGAGAAAACTCCAATTCCGGCAAACTTGGTTCAGTGATTCCGGCAAGCGGTTTGGGCTTCGGGGCCGAATCGCTGACCAGCACCACTCACCCAGGGTCCTGGGCATATCCGAGGGGAGGAGGTGGAGGAGGAGGAGGAGGAGGAGGAGGAGGAGGAGGAGGAGGGAGAGGGGGGAGGGGGACGGGGAGGGGGGGGGGACGGGGGGGGAGGGGTAGGGGGAAGAGGGGAAGAGGAGGGGGAGGAGGGAGGGGAGGAGGAGTGGGAGGAGAGAAAGAAGAGAAGGGAGGGGAGGAGGCGGCCAGGGAAGCCCTCCGCCGGCGGGTTCCTCGCGCGGCTACGCGGCGCGCCCGAAAGGCGGGCCGAGCGCGAATCACGGCGCACCGTCCTCCAGGGCGGCAGCCAGGGGGCGCGCCCGGGGGCGAAGCCTCCGACGACGAGGAGGAAACCGTCGGCCGGGTCGGTCCGCTCCGTCGCAGCCGACGCTGTCGCCGCAGTCCTCGAGGAACCTTGGGCGTTGGTTGGTGCCCTGATACTCGGACTTGGCGGCGAGCCCGGGGAGGGAGAGTGAGAAGGGGCAGGCCTTCTCAGAAGGCGGCGGGGCTTCTCAGAAGCCTCTCCTGTTGTCTGGGAAGCTCTCCAAACAGTGCTGGCACGAAGGGTTTGTTTCATGTCTCCTCCAAGGAACTGGGCCTGTCTGCCGCTCTGGCGGCTACGTTGCCGCCGTCGTCGCCCCGTCGCCGCCTCCTCGCCGCCCGTCGCGCGGGCCTGTCTGCCGCTCTGGCGGCCACGCTGCCGCCGTCGCCGCCCCGTCGCCGCCCCGTCGCCACCTCGTCGCCGCACAAAACACAGATTGCACCAGATTGCGCCACATGTATTGCACCGCTTCGATTACCAACTTACCACGCGCCCAAGGTCAGATGCCCTTCGGCGGACGGCCCCAGCCGGCCGGCCAGGCCAACATTACTGCGGATGCTTCCCGGGGGCGTGCCTCCGAAACGGAGAAGTATCGAGATTGTTCTAACAGCACGCCCGCCGTCGCGAAGCGACGAGACCATTCAAGAAATAGTAATCACACAAGCAAGACTGCACAGTCTGCTTTCGAAGTCTGCGCCCCCGGGCACTCCCCCAGGACTCCAACGAGCCCCGCTGTCGGCCAACCACGCCTGGACTCCACCTTGCCCCGTTTGCCGCCTCTTCGGCGAGGCTCGGCACTCGGCCAAGACTGCCTCAGCACACCTTCACCCAGCTCATCGCCTGCTGCATCGGCTTTGCTCCGGAGCCTTCGCCACAAGCTCAAACCTGGCAGCCCGACGCGCCTCGGCCTCAACCTCGCGGAAGGCCACCAGCCTCCTCAACGCGTCGTCATTATGGCGCCGCCCTGCCTCTATGTGCACTCGGAGGTCGGCCACGGTGCTCTGGACAACCCTCTTCCATTCGTCTCTGACGTCGGCCGCAGCACGCGCTCCATCCAGGAAGACCAGATGGTAGTAATTACCACACTCCGCCTGGTCTTCGGCGTCTTGCAGTTCGGCACAATTGGCCGCGACCGCCTGGCTCAAGGCGCCGCGGGGCCCGCCGATCGTGACGCCCCAAAACCCTGCTCCAACTCCGTCTCGAGCGCCTTCACGACGCGCCTTCACGACGCGCTCAGGATGCTCCACCTCGGGGACCTCGGAAAGCACCTCTGGCGGGGTGGGAACGGCCTCCACGAGCTCCAGCCCCCCTGCTCGCGCTGGCCCACATCCACCCCCACCGAGGACTGCGTCTCGTGGAGGGCGGGCTCTGCTGCTGTTGCTTCAGCCAGGCGGCCGCTGAGATGTCGGCCATTGTCTGGGCCACGTCCCACCAGCTGCACTGGAACTGCGCCCGATGCCAAGGGCCGCTGTCCGCGCGCGCCGCACTGGCAGCCCTTCCTGCCCTCTGCACGTCGCCACGGCTGCTCCTCACCGAAGCTTGTGGCCCTTGGCCACGGTTCGGCCCCGAAGTCGCCGCGCTGGCAGCACTTCCTGCCCTTTGCGCGTCACCGCGGCTGCTCTTCGCCGACGCCGCTGGCTCTTGGCCGCGCGTCGGCCCCGCGGGCACCGCATTGGCAACCCTTCTTGCAGTCTGCCCGCCGCCACCGTAGGTCCCCACCGAAGATGCTGGCTCTGGGCCGCGCTTCGGCCCCGCAGGCGCCGCGCCGACGGCGCTTCCTGCCTTCTGCACGTCGCCGCGGCTGCTCCTCGCCGACGCCGCTGGCTCGGGGCCGCGCGTCGGCCCCGCAGACGCAGCGATGGCAGCACTTCCTCTCCTCCCTGCGGGGCAGTCTCTTTGAGCCGCGCCTCGTCCTTGGCTTCGCCGCCGTCGACCGCGCCCACGACGTCGTCCTCCTCGAGGTCGTCGCCGCCGCTGAACGCGGCCCGTGTGCCTGAGACTGCACGACCGCTGGCTCCAGGCTCATTCGCACGAGCAGGCCTCTTCGCCCTCTGCCGGCCACCATGACCGCGGCCGAACGCGCGTCCTCCCAGGCGCCCAGGGCCGTCTCCAGCGGGACCCCCGTGCAGAGCCTCGAGGAGGCGTTGCCCGTCGGGCTCGAGAAGCCCGGCGTCGGCCTGCAGCTCCTTCAACGGCTGCCTCTGGAGCGCGGCCACTGCCCCGGAGCAAGTCCGTCAGCCGCCGCCCGTGCAGCGCACCAGCGGCGTCGGGGAGGCGCGGCAGAAGACCGCCGCGCACCTGAGGCCAACTCCTGCCCATCCCACGCGTGGAAGACCTTGCCCAGTGACGGCAGACAGGCGCCCTGGCCGCAGCACGCGGCAAACGCCGCACCAGCGCCCTCCAGCTAACCGTTCGCCCCAACCTTTGACCAAGGCTACCATCGCCGCTAGCACGCTGCACCACACAGGCTCTCCTTTCTAAGAAAATCCCACCAGCCCTTTGGGCGTGAGTGGTTTAGAGAGCCCGCTCTGTCCTCAACCCCCCTTCTTCCCCTTCGGGGAGGGGTTTACCCCTCCCCCTACCCCCTCCCCCTGGACCTGGAGAGGGCGCCCCGCGGGTCGTTGGAGGGGTCTTTTTCGACTCCTGGGAGGGCCAAAAAACGACGACCCTCACGAGGATTCTGGCCCCGACGGGGGGACGGAGTTTGGCCCCTCTGCTCTTCTTTGAAGCCAAAAATCATTGATTTTACTAGAGTTTTGGCCCCATTTTGGCCTCCTGAGGGGGCCGCGCTTCTCGTCCTTCATAGCAAAATCATTGATTTTACGAAGGTTTTGGGCTCATTTTGTCCTTCTCAGGGGGCAGCTCTCCTTTGCGCTTTTGAGGAGGTCGCCAAGAGGCCCCAAGATGGCCCCAAGAGGCCCCCAGAAGGCTCCCAAGAGGCCTCCAAGAGGCCCCCCCCCAAGAAACCCCAAAGAGGCCCCCAAGAGGCCCCCAAGAGGCCCCAAGAGGCCCCAAGAGGCCCCCAAGAGGCCCCCAAGAGGCTCCAAGAGGCCCCCAAGAGGCCCCACGAGGAGCCCGAACGACTCACACCAGGACGAGGGGCCCGACTCACCCACGAAGAGCCCGAACGACTCACACCACAAGGAGGGGCCTCCGAACGACTCACACCAGGGACGAGCCCCGAACGACTCACACCAGAACGAGGAGCCCGAACGAGTCACCCCAGCAGGAGGGGCCCGAACGACTCACACCAGGACGAGGGGCCCGAACAACTCACACCACGAGAAGCCCGAACGACTCACACCAGGACGAAGAGCCCGAACGACTCACACCACGAAGAGCCCGAACGACTCACACCAGGAAGAAGGGCCCGAACGACTCACACCAGGACGAGAAACCCCAAACGACTCAAACCACGAGGAGCGCTTTCTCTCCCTCCTCCTCCGCCTCGTCCTTCTCCCGCTCCCCCCACACGGAGGATGTACAAGGAGGCGGGAGGAAGGAGGAACAGGGGAGATATGCGGGGCCAAGCGGACACACGCCTGAAAAACACGACTGTCGGCATGCTTCGCAAGAGTTGCTGCTGTGAGATGGGCTGGTGGGGATACGCGAAGCGTAAAGAATACACGTTACCACCCTCCCCTCACCGGAGTTATCGATTCCCCAGGAACCTATGCAAAACACATATGACTCCGACCCAATGTCCCTCCGACCTTTAGAACTCAGACTATCCCAGCCAAGCCGGTATCGCCCCCCCTCGGTTCTTTTGCAATAAATACTATGTGCGCACAATCGTATTTCGAAAATCACAAGTTTTCAAAAAATCCCTTTCAACAATAATCCCGGCAAAGCAACCTAACAGCGATGTGTAGAAGCATATCTGAAAGCATTCCCCTTAAGATTCAGATGAAAATCCAGTTGTCGAATTCTGCTGTTCTCGCAGTCGTAGTCGCAATCGCGATGACAGTCGCAGCGGCAACGGCAGTCGCAGTCACAGCCTCAGCCTCAGCCTGCCTCCTCCTCCTCCTCCTCCTCCTCTGTCTCCTGCTCCTCCTCCTCCTCCTCCTCCTCCTCCTCCTCCTCGCTCCTCCCTCCTCGTCTCCTCGTCTCTGCTCGTCCTCCTCCTCCTGCCTCTCCTCCTCCTCCTCCTCCTCCTCCTCCTCCTCCTGGTGGTCCTCGTTCTCCTCCTCCTGGTGCTCTCCCCCCCCCTCCTCCTCCCTCGTCCTCCTCCTCCTCCTCCTCGTCCTCCTCCTCCTCTTCCTCCTCCTCCTCCTCCTCCTCCTCCTCCTCCTCCTCCTCCTGGTAGTCCTCCCCCTCCCCTCCTCCTCCTCCTCCTCCTCCTTCCTGGTCGTCCTCGTTCTCGTCCTCCTCGTCTTGCTCGTCCTCCTCCTCCTGGTGTTCTCTCCTCCTCCTCCTCCTCCTCCTCCTCCTCCTCCTGGTGGTGGTCCTCGTTCTCCTCCTCCTGGTACTCTCCCCCCCACCTCCTCCTCCTCCTCGTCCTCGTCTTCCTCCTCCTCCTCCTCCTCCTCTCCCTCCTCCTCCTCCTCCTCCTCCTCCTCCTCCTCCTCCTCCGGGTACTCCTCCCCCTCCCTCCTCCTCCTCCTCTTCCTGGTCGTCCTCCTCCTCCTGGTCGTCCTCCTCCTCCTGCTCGTCCTCCTCCTCCTCCTGCTCGTCCTTCTTCTCCTGCTCCTCCTGCTCCTCGTCCTGCTCCTGCTCGTCCTCGTCCTCCTGGTCTTGCTCGTCTTCTCCTCGTCGTGCTATTGCCCCTGCTGAAAATGTGGCCCAGGAATGGGAGTTCTGGGAAGTCGAAGAGCACGAAGTTGCCTACAGCTGGCTACGGGCATTCAAAATGTGGCCCGGGAATGGAGTTCTGGGAACTCGAAGAGCACGAAGTGGCCTACTTCGTGCACTGGGCTGTTAGGTAGGTTGTAAGGCGACTTAGGGATATGATAATAACTTGTTCGCAAGTCTCATGTAACGCTGGTATAACTTACTTATAACTTTTCCTTAACTTTCCATTCGCTTCCAAGATTCCCCATATATTTTTGTTTTACTTCATAACTTTTTTCATAACTTTTTCCTAATTTTTGCTAACTTCCGTGTTTGAACCCATGGCCCGGGCGG